AAAATGGGTCACCTTGTATATATATATGTATATGCGTGCGTGTGTCGCGTGCGCGCTGGTATGAAAAAAAAGGGGGGAGTTGATGACAAGTCAACCGATTCGCTTGGCAAACAACTATCTCACGCATCATCTTACTGGTGATGATGCGTGAGATAGTTGTTTGCCAAGCGAATCGGTTGACAGTGAGGCTCGATGTCCACGCAAGAGCGCCTGAGGTTGGCGGGTGGCGGGTCTCTAGGAACCCCAGAGGTCACCAGAGCACTCGAATGATGTACTGTTTTTCGCGAGTTGAATTGCCGCGAACTTCTTACGTGGATTCGACTATTTTTAAATTGCCGCGAACTCCCGACGTGGATTTGGCTACCGTTAAATTTTATCTGACACTTCGCTTCCGCGGGGCCTCTATTTATACTCCGAAAAAAGGGCGTAATGCCCTTTGTCTAGGATGCAATAGTTAGTTGCAATGTCGCGCGAGATTTACGATTTTTAAGGTATCCTATCGTTGTTAATCTAAAGTACACCGTTAAAAGAGGTTTAGAGAACAAAAGGAATGATTTATGTTTTCTCCAAATTGGGGCAAGATTGCTTTAAGCGAGAGATGAATTCCGTCATCCTCGCGGAAAATATGGCTAAGTAAACAGCTGTGAGACGTTATCTCATGTTTTTATGATTTTTGTGGCGACGCGGCGCCTGTTTTCCTGAAGATGAAATTGTTGGTCAACAATTCGGACAACAGCTTGAATTTTTATCATCGCGTGACTTAGGTCCATTTATGATATTTTTCGCAATCTTGTCTCTTTTAGGCCTGCGTTAATGTTGTTATTTTTCCGGGTTGATTGACGTTTTACGAGTTTTTCGCGAAACCTGTGTGGTCTGTTTTTCAATTTTTATAAGGGGACTCCTGCTCGCATCTCGCAGGCGCCAATCATAGGCCCGACGCGGAGCCGATTCTCTCGAAGGAAAAGAATCTGCGTCTGCAGGACGTAACACCCCCAGCCTTAGACAAATGTTGGGGTGTAAGAACATAACATTTGCAAAAAAAAGGAGAAGAGGCAAAAAAGGGTATTGATTCTTTTCTTTCGACGATTTGATGGGTTGACTACATAGTAACGTAGGACCCACATTTAAGTGTTATTTCTTAGATATGCGTCCCTTGGTTTATTAGAGAAGCAGGAAAGAATCGGTTGTTTCTAAAATTCGCCTTTTCAATTCTTTCGTCCTTCCATTTTACAAATAAATAATAATATTCTGGTGTACATGTACGCGTATTACATATAAAGGAGATTAATACTTTATCATGCATCCATAAGTTTATTATTTATGTCATTAAGGAGCAGAAAGGAAAGATAGGATTTTTTCCAGAATTCTTTCGCGCTCTTTGTTATGCCTACTTGCGATAATATGGTAGAAGGTAAGAAAGCTACATAATAATATAACGACATCGACATTGTCGTTAGAAGTTATAGAGAATAAAGGGCATTGAGATATTAGTCTGTACATTTTATTTGACTCAATACATTTTCTTTAAACAAATAATAAACAAATAATAATATTATTTTTCAAATTTTCAAATGTTTTTATTCATTATAAAAATTATTATTAAAGAAAATACATTTATAAATTTCTTATTTGTTTACTTTCCAATGTAATCCAATTATGTAGATATTATTGTTCCTCTTGATGTTTATCTTTATTTTATTGTTGTATTGTATAAATTTGGACTATTTTTATATATAAATGCAATATAAATACACATTTTATAATCCTTTTATATTTTAATGTGCTATATAATACGGATGTAAATATTTCATTCTATATGCTTGTCTAAATTAATTGGAGGATGTGTCACATAATAATGAATTAAATACAGATATATTATATGATAAAATACAAAAAGTCCTGGATCCCTTGAATATTTTGAAAAGTAAGCATTTCTGAGGAAAATGTTTCATACAAAAGTTGAAAATGATCTATTTACTGATCTTATCAATTTCACCTTTTGTAGCGTCAAGGTCAAGTCAAGTCGATTTTTTTTAATCGAAACACCCTTTTTTGATTTTAAAATATAAAGCTAATGTCAGGAGCTTTTCAAAACACTATAATAAAGCTCCTTTTTAATCAGTATTTTTCAAGTTATGAGACTTGAAAGTTACAGAACCACTGGCATCATACGCATTATTAAAAGGGATACGAGCACCTTAGCTAATGCTGGTGGTTCTGTAACTTTCAAGTCTCATAAGTTAAAAAGTATACTGATTAAAAAGAGACTTTATTATAGTGTTTTGAAAAGCTTCTGATATCAGCTATTAGATTCTAAAATAAAAAATAGGATATTTTGTTTAAAAGAATCGATTTGACCTTGACTTGACCTTAGTAGCGCCATTCAAGGTCAAATTGATAAGGTCAGTAAATAGATCATTTTTAACCCTACAACTTTAGTGTGAAACATTTTTCTCAGAAATGCTTACTTTTCAAAACATTTAAGGAGTCCGGGATTTTTTGTACACTCTGTATATAAAATATAACGTGATTTCTACGGCATTGGAATATTCTTATAAGCTATAAATATATTCAGTATAATACTATTGATTTGTGAATATATAGAGAATAATTTCAAATATAAAAGTATTTTCTTTAAAAAATTTAAAAAATTAATTTTCCTTTCTGTGGTCATTCGATAATTCAACCTGTGATTTTTTGGATGGAAATATCACAAACAAAGATAGCTGAGCTATACTAAGAATGAAACCAATTGCATTCTGAAACTATTAATATATTGTATTATATTATATTATATATAATATTATCAATATATAATGTATTAAAAAAATTATCTTTTATAATTGCATTGCAAATACTTACAATAATAAAAACATTATTGATGATAAGGCCGTACAATAACCACTGAAATGAAACTAATGTACCCATAAATATAAGTGGGAATGGAAGAATTTCTGTGTTTTTCGTTTTTATAACATTTTTCTAAAAGAAAGAACAAACAATATTTTAATTATATTATCATATTATAACTATGATTAAAATACACATACATATTTTAAAATATTTAAGATATATATAAAAAAACAAGATCTACTCACAAGATGCGCAAGAGGAGCTCCAATTAAAAGAAGGAGAAGTACTGTAACCACAATACCGAATCTAAATTCAACATTTGCTGGATGTTCCATTTGTGCATAGACAAGAAAAATTGCAACAAAGATTGTTACTTTATATATTAATTTAAGCACCTCCTTCTAAAAAGAAAAAACATTACATAATAAAGTGTCGATCAATTACAAATCAAATATGTTTCAATAGTGTCAGATAAAGTACCGTATTTGGTGCATAATAATAGTAAATTATCATATAAATCATATTTGTCAATAAACCAAATATATTAACATTTATCATGTTAGAATCACCTAACATCCAAGCGTATCGAAGCATCAATATACACCTAAAAAAATTGTTCATTTAGTTACATATTTCAATTAACTTTTAATTTGCTTAACGTTATTATTTTATTACTATATGAATATACAGGCTTTAAAAATTTTTGCGACGCCTGTCACGAGCAGGTAGAACGGACCAAACTGAATCGAAAATTCTTATATCATTTTGTAGTTTGCGCAATAGGTAACGAGATATTAACGTTTAAAGAAAGCCGAATAAGTGCGTCCGGCCGGCCTACTGCTGCCGAATATATTTAGGTGTTGAACTTAATTCCTGCCGCTCGTTACTAGAAGGTGCTGACTCGAACGCTGGCGAGTTTCGACGATGAAGTCATATGTCTTTTGTAGTTTAGACATCGCTGAAAGTGATTCAATCCTCACAGGATAGATTTCGTGATAAGCTGCTTTTCCGACATGTGCTTCTTCACTACTTGGACCTCAAGAAAACCGCAGCTGAAGCGCATCGCTTATTATCCGAAATGTATGGTGATGAAACTCCATCGGAAAGAACATGTAAAGTTTGGTTTGAACGCTTCCGAAACGTTGATTTTGATGTGAGAGACAAAGAACGTCCAGGACAGCCGAAAAAATTTGAAGATGTCGAGCTGCAAGAATTGCTTGATGAGAATCTAGCTCAAACGCTTTTAGAGTTGTCGAAACAGTTAAATGTTACTTCAATGGCCGTCTCAAAACGCTTGCATGCCATGGGAAAGATCCATAAGGAAGGGAGATGGCTACCACATGAGTTGTCAGAAAGTACCATTTCAAATCGTTTGACTATTGCGACTTCTTTGCTTGCCAGGTAAAGAAAAAAGAGTTTTTTGTGGCGCATTGTGACTGGCGATGAAAAATGGATTCATTTTGATAATCTCAAGCGGAAAAGATCATGAGTGAATCCCGGCCAACCATCCGCTTCAACGCCGAAGAGGAATATTCACGGGCATAAGACCTTGCTGTGCGTTTGATGGGACCAGGAAGGTGTGCTGTATTACGAACTTTTGGGTCCAAATGAAACCGTGGGAACTGCCACTAAACGTCTTAACTCGAATGGCACGCCTTAGTGATGGGCACTTAATCGATTCCTAATCGATTAAATCGATTATCGAGGGCAATCGATTATTGGACGGTCCCAAGATAATTGATTATAATCGATTAATCGGACAATAATCGTTTGTTTTTTAGGCTCTATACACAATGGAGGAAATATTAGGAATAGGAATAAATAATAAGATTTTGACCTATTAGAAACTATGTTTTCCCGTATAACTGGTTCCTGATAGGTTGAAATTTTATTATAGGGTTTCTAATTTGCACTACACTACAGACATTAACTACGGAAACACGCTACATTGTCAAAGTGTTGCACTGGTGGGTGATAGTGCAGCCAAGAGAAAACGCTATAGGTCAATAGAGAAAAAGAGAAGCGAGAGGACTGATGGCTCCTGCACATTAGACGCGGAAATGCTTGCCGCGCGACAAAATGTGATGCGGTAACCAATGAGTATATTAGGAGCTGTAAGTTTATTGGCTACCACATCACATTTTGCCGCGCGGCAAGCGTTTCCGCGTCCAGTGTGCAAGAGCCATGAGGAGGCGTTCTGAATGTGAATTTCTGATAGTGATATATTTAAATTTAGATTTACTTTACTGCTATTAACACTTCTATGCGATTAGATTTATTGTCGATTAATCTAATTAGAAAAAGGCCCTTAACAGAATTGTACAGAATAAGGACAATTGTTAGATTCACACTGCATTTGTCGTACAATGATTGCAATTAATCAGAAAACAGGATTTTGCTTCGTATCGCTGATACGATTTTTTTGATTGGTTGCAGAGTCGTCATACGACGCACATCGGATGCAGTGTGAATCCAGCAACTGATTTGGCATTCTCTTTCTCTCTCCTGGGGTGCGTTCCAAAACTTCACTCTATTAACTTCGAGTATCTTTTGTCCTTGTTCATCATTCAATGAACAACAAGGATGGTCATACCCTACGTTTCCACTGAGCGCGTCACGCGTCGCGTCGTGAAAGAGAGAAAGAGATAAGTATATATAAATATACACAACCCCTCTCTTTCTCTCTTTCACGCGACGCATACGGCCGTACACACTCAGTGGAAACGTACCATGCATTCGTATTTTGTAAATCATAACTTGACTATCGCGTTATCGTAACCGCTGACAGGTCTGTAAACAGTACAAGATGTTAAAAAAGTGGCGAAAATCCAAAGGAAACGGACGACAAAGATTATATAATGGAAATGATAATGGTAATTATTTTGGTAATTATTCAGAATACCTCCCTCACCTCCGATTTCGATAAAATTAGGCTCATTCGACGCGTTTTTGCATGAAACGAAAGAATCTGGCAGAAAAAAGTGTCGCTCTGCCTCGCGAGCCGAGATATTTAGCGTTAAAGTTGACTATGGAGGTTAGGAAATCTGTCATACCGACTATGGCCGTGGTCCGAATCATGCTGACAACGCTCATGAGCATTGTTTGTCTTCGTTTAACATTTGACAAACAACAAGGATGAAATGATTTTTAAGCATTGTGAGCGTGTATCGGACCGCGGCCTATGTGTAATAAATTAAACGTATGTAGTAGTGCTTAGACAGTGTCCGCTTGGAATATTTGTAACCCATGTAGACAGTGGGATGTATAGACAGTAATGCTTGGGTTCGGGGCGGCTACGCCGCCCCGAACAAAATATAAATATCATATCCTACCCGCTTGGGGCCTAACCGCCTAGAAGTCACAGCGTAGACAGTGTCCGCTTGGAATATTTCTAACCCATATAGACAGTGGGGTGTGAGAACGCGATCTTTCTACTGTCTAGTTAAAAAGACTGTTTTCGCACACCCCACTGTCTTCATGGGTTAGAAATATTCCAAGCGGACACTGTCTACGCTGTAACTTCTAGGCGGTTAGGCCCCAAGCGGGTAGGATATGATATTTATATTTTGTTCGGGGCGGCGTAGCCGCCCCGAACCCAAGCATTACTGTCTATACATCCCACTGTCTACATGGGTTACAAATATTCCAAGCGGACACTGTCTAAGCACTACTACATACGTTTAATTTATTACACATAGTCGGTATGACAGATTTCCTAACCTCCATAGTCGTCAACTTTAACGCTAAATATCTCGGTTCGCGAGGCAGAGCGACACTTTTTTCTGCCAGATTCTTTCGGTTCATGCAAAAACGCGTCGAATGAGCCTAATTTTATCGAAATCGGAGGTGAGGGAGGTATTCTGAATAATTACCATTATTTTTTAATTAATATAAATAAAAACAACATAAAAGCTAATTAATTATTTTAAAGTAATTTTTTAATTTTTACAAAAATTAATTAAAGTCAAAAGACTCAATAGATAATTTTCGTTGATTTTTTTATATTATAGAGATAGAAATATCTTCAACAGATTCAAATGAATTAGAAAGAACTAGAAGCCGATCAACTGCAAGCCGATCAAGTAAAAGTATTTTTTCTCCCACAAAACGGTAATACATCTATATTTTATAGATCTTTGTATATAATTTTACATATTTGCGTACACATACACATCTGTTATCTATTATGGTTTACAGTTTTAAAGCATCCTTATGTTTTGGAAATACTTCTGATTCTGATAAAACAGATTCAGACAACAAGAATTCAGAAAATTCTAATTATAAAGAGGAAAACTCTGGATCTCAAAATAGGTTTGTAATTTACAATGTTTTAATTTAGAATGATTCAATTTTTTTTACGTTTTAATATGCTTGAATATTACTACTATATGTTGTAAATAAATTTTCTTTCAGTATAAATAGCAAGCAAGAAAAAAGGACAGAAAAATAACTAATCGGTATGTAAAAAGTAAGAGACTATAAATTATCTAATAGTCGATATTTAATTTTACTATTTAAACTTTTTTTTCAAGAACATTTCGTACACAGTCTGATGCATGGAATTCCTTTACCAAAATTAATAACAAAAATGTTCGTTGTGATATTTGAAAAGGTGTTTAAAAATTGTGGAAGTACAACAAACTTTTTGTCACATGTTAAAACACAACATGCATACGAGTATGAACGATATTTACACGGTTCATCAGATTATGAAGGATTGTGTCCTGAAAACTCGAAATTAAACACATTCAAAAATTTTACAGGTTACAAAAATAAATTATATTTATAAAAAATAAGTTATATTTACATCATATTCAATTAATTTTTTTCTTTCTATTCTTCTTTAATAATTTTGAATTTTCTACAGATTTTGACACTCAGAAGAAATCAATAAAACATTTATTCAAAAATATGTTTCCATATGAAAAAAATGGCAAAAAGAAAAAAGAATTAGATCGGAAGCTTGCTATGATGGTAGCTAAAGATTTCTAGCCTTTATGTATAGTTGAAGATGAAAGATTTCGTGATTTTGTAAAACCTTTAAATCCCAGATACAAAATTATTTCAAGAAAAACATTAACTAATTCCGTATTACCTGAATGTTATGAAATGACAAAAAAAAATTTGAAAGATTTATTGGAAAAAGCCCATTCTGTTTCCTTAACAGCAGATGAATGGACATCTAACGCAAATGAAAGCTATTTGGGTATTACCTATCACTTTTTTGAAGAAACTTCAGATTCATCTTTAACTTTACACTCTACTGCGCTTTGGATATAATATTAATTGAGAAAGAAACTGCAAATAATATAAGTCAGGTAATCAAAAATTGTTTAATTGAATGGGATATTTTTGATAAAGTGAACAATATTGTGACTGATAATGCAGCTAACATGAAATTAAGTTAGTTCTAGATTACGACAAATATATAGAAAAAATGGAAAATGTTCTCTCAGATTTAAGTACCTATGAGTCGGTGGCCTTTGACCCGACGAAGAGGTTGACGCAAGAATTACGCACATTATTGGTAAGGTGGAAACGCAATAAATTCATAGACGATATAACATACAGACGTTTACTTACTACGGATGGAGTTACTCCAAGAGCGTATGGATTGACTAAGGTCCATAAAGAGGGTTATCCATTGAGGATTATTGTATCCTCTATTAATAGTGCTTTATATCATCTTTCACTTTTTTTACATAACATCATTAAAGACAATATACCTAAGACTTTTAGTTACATTAAAGATAGCTTTCAGCTAGTAGAAAAGTTGAATTGCATGAATTTTGATTCTGGTTTCTGCTTAGCTTCCTTTGATGTGATTTCCTTATTTATTAATATCCCTATTGATCTAGCTATTAATAGTATTGAGGGGAGATGGGAACACATTTCTGGTAAGACTGACATTACCAAAGATGAATTTATTTTTGCAATTAAGTTCATTCTTGAGTCAACTTATTTTACCTTTAATAAAAAGACTTATAAACAAGTTTTTGGTGCTCCAATGGGCTCACCACTTTCTCCCATAATTGTTGACATGGTTTTACAGGACCTTGAAATGAAGGCTATTAGATCGTTAACTGTGAAACCATTATTTTATTATAGGTATATTGATGATGTTATACTTGCGCTCCTCATGGTAACTTGGTTGAGACTTTGAAGATTTTTAATTCAATACATGTTAGACTACAGTTTACTTGTGAGGTCGGTACAGGGAATAGAATCAGTTTTTTAAACACAACTATCATTATTGACAATAACCGAATAATTTTTGATGTTTTTCACAAGAGCACATATTCGGGTAGGTTTCTTAGTTTTTATTCCAACCATCCTACTTGCCATAAAAAAAGTACTTTGATTAGTTGCATTGATAAAATCTTATTATTGTCACATCCTTCCTTTCAACAAGGAAATCTTGTCAATGCTATTAACACCTTTCTAGACAATTGTTATCCACTGTCTTTCATTTTTACTAATATTACACAGAGAATAAATTTTTATATTCACAATAAGAATAAGACAGGTAACATACTAGTTAAAGATAAATATTTTACCATCCCATATGTTAAATCAATTTCGGAGAGCTTTCTTCCGATTTCTAGTATGTTCCACTGCAAGTTGGCCTTCACTATTCCGAATACATTGAAAGGTCTTATTAGAAAAGGAAAGGATAAGTTAGAACTTATGTCTAACCAGAATGTGGTTTATAAGATATCATGCGAGAATTGTGAGGCTAGCTATGTCGGTCAAACTAAAAGAAGATTAAGTACAAGAGTCAACGAACACAAATCCGACATCAGAAAAAATACTAGCTCCCCTTCTGTTATCTCAGACCATAGAATAAAATTCGATCACAATTTCAAATGGGACGAAGTAAAGGTCTTAGATAGCGAATCGACTTATAATAAAAGACTTGTATCAGAAATGATACATATTAAACGACAAAAACAGGGTATAAATAAAATGAAGGACATTGAGGCATTGCCGGAATCTTATTCTAGTATTATTCGTGCTCTTTCTCCTTCGTGATGGTTTTCAACGCAATTCTCTTCTTCTTTTCTCTGTCTTCCCCTTCTACTCCTGTTCTCCCCTCTTTTATTCTTTTCTTTCCAGACAGTTCTATTTAATTCCTATTTCTCCGAAGTGTGTCGCTCTTACTTTATTCTGTGACTTACAATAGTAAAGTACCACATATACTCACGTCGCATAATTTTTTAATTTTTTAATTTTTTAATTAATTTTTTCTTTTAATTATCTACAGTTTATAATATACTGTTATGTTTTTTCACTATGGTGACCTTAACATTGTTTTACGGAAATCACATAATTCAAGGTATTTTATCCTCATACTATATACTGATTTCTTATAATTTTCTCTGACCTGTTAATACACTGACTGTTGTCATTTTCAAATTTATTATACATGATTATTATTATTATTTTTTCCGTTTTCCTTATATATTTGTTTTCTACAATTTTTGTATAATTTAATAATTTTTACTGCTATTTTTATCATATTTAGTCTAATTTGTTCTTACAAATGTTATATTTAGTTTTCCACTATTACATATTATTCAACTCATTAAACTTATGTTATCCAATTTTGTAATTTTATACAACTTCAACAGATGCAATGCCGGTTTTATCTACTCAGGATGTCTCTTATTACATACACTTATACTGCAACATATTGAGTGAAATAAAAAGTTTATATATTTTCATCTAAAGATTCCTTTCTACTGATACTAACATATCGAGTGGAAGATTTACACAATTTATTTTATGACACCTTTTAATTGGCATTAGCTTTACAATGTCATTTGACGACATACTGGTAATGAATTCTACACAATTCTCATCCGACAATTTGCATCTGTTTCTATTATTTCTGCGCTTTACATGTTTTTATTTAAGAACTTTACATATAATTTTTATTATTGCGACTGTTATATTATTTTTCGATATGTTACTGTGTTAATTTTTGTAACTTTGCGTTTGAGAGAGAATTTAAGTTCTTTATATAGTAATTTTTATCGTTTATCTTATGAACATTGAAAATGGTCCAACAAGGATCGAAACGTACGTTCGTTTTGTTTTATTTATTCATATTATAGTTATCATGTTCTTAGTTATTATTATATGTTTATGACATCTTTATACGATCTATTTATTTACAACAAAATAACCTTAGGCTTGTAGCCCTATGATTCTTACTGATGAAATTAAGTGTTGAATTGCTAAATAAAAAATATTTACCATGTTTTGCACATAGTTTGAACCTTGTTCTAAAAAATTCCATTACAAAGTGTAATAACAATGAAATTCTCTCTGTAATTACAAAGTATAAAACTTTAGTAACATTTTTTCATCACAGTCCTAAAGGTATCAGAATGTTAAAAGAAGCAAATAAAAAGATTGCAGAAGAAGGAGAAAATGTTTCTGGCAAATTAATACAATATGTAAATAATAATTAATGGCTAATTTTTAAAACTATACAGGATGTTTCATTAAGAGTAGTTTATTTGTACATTATTGCAATCACATAATACAATTTCTTTAATTATTCTGTATATAAAAATATGAAAATAGAGATATCAAGAAATCAATAGTTTACGAGATAATTTTTTAGGTGTTAAACTTAATTCCTATCGTTTTGTCGTCTCGAAAATCGATTTGTTTCGAAGGAAAGATGAATGAATACCTTAATCAAAGTAATTTCCTCCATTTTCTAATACTTTTTCCCATCTCTCTGGCAACAGAGCAATCCCACGACGGTAGAACGCGGTATCTTTCGAGGCGATCCATTCATCCACCCATTTTTGGACTTCGTTGTAACTGGAGAAGTGTGTGTCTTTATGTGCGTGTTGCATCGATCGGAA